CACACCCTTTTTTGAAGTGGGTAAAACATGTCTTTTTGACAATATATCTCTAATTCTCAATTATTTGTCAAAGGGATCCTAATTATTATTATTGAAATTGTATAACTCACGAATACCGAAAGATCATTTTTTTTCTCAAATATTATTTTTTACTTATATTTAATGAAGACGATAAATCTGTTTCACCTTAAACTCTGAAATTACGATGTTGAAAGATGAGAAACGTTCAGAAAAATTTCAACTTCACTTTTATTATATTGAGACGTCATGAAATTTGTCTTTTTTTCATCCATTCAAACATCTACAGAAGAGGCCGCGCTTTAATACCAATTGCATAAAGAAGAGATCCAAAAATGAATTTATATCCCCAGTATATAAAAATACATTCTCAAAAATTTATTCAATAATGCTTTCAAAGGTATTATACAAAACTCACGAATACAAGTCTAACCGCAGGTCTTATCAATTAATATTGAACTCGATATGAAATGTCATGGTAATCATGAAAGTTCCATTCTAATTAGTTTTACTTGATTCTTACCTCTTATGGTCATTTCTATCCTAAGTCACTTCAGGGTAAATCAGGTACGAATTCATATCTGAAATATTTTGCATATATAGAGCTTAAGTTCAGGCCCACAAGTTTGCTGTCTTCTCATGAGATAAATCAAATAAAAAAATTTTGTTGTATATATTTAGGATAGAAAGCTTTGTGGCAATTAGGAATGAATCAATTCCAATTCTTAGAATTGGTTAGAATTGGCTGGAGTCGCCTAAAAATTGTATGAAATCCCAGAAATCGGTATGAAATTGGCTAGAATTGGTTTGAGCTGACTATAATTCGTATGGAGTCCTAAGAATTGTTATGGAATTGGCCTGAAATTGCGTCGAATTGTACCGTATTGCCTACAATTCGTATGAAATCCAAAGAATTGGTCTGAAACTGACTCGAATTGAGCCGAATCGTGTACAATTCCTAGGATTCTATCAGAATTGTACCCAGCTCAAGCCAATCCGAGTCAGTTTCAGACCAATTCCTTGGATTCCATACGAATTGTAGGCAATACGGTACAATTCGAGGCAATTTTAGCCCAATTCCATAACAATTCTTAGGAGTCCATACGAATTATAGCCAGCTCAAACCAATTCTAGCCAGTTTCAGACCAATTTCATACCGATTTCTGGGATTTCATACAATTTTTAGGCGACTCCAACCAATTCTAACCAATTCCAATTCCAATTCTAACCAATTCCGTCAATTCCAAGCCAAGAATTGGAATTGGAATTGGTTAGAATTGGGATTGGTGCATCCCTAGTGGCAATCATTTTATTTTCGTTTGTATTTAGCTTTGTAATTCCTACCCGAAGTTTTTCATTGCGCATCATGAAATGTTTGTTTGAAATAATGACACATATCAACAAAATATAAAATATCATGTTTAAATTTCATGTGATTCATAGAGAAAAAAGTCATGTACAATTTATGAAACTGTGTTCCAGTACTGTTCATGTCAATCTACATGTATATGTCGTAGTAGAAATTGAAATAACAGGCAATTTTAATTTCTATTATAGGAGAACTTTAAATTCTACTACATAGAAACTTATACTATACAAGTATGTGAAATTTTCCTATAATAAAAAATAAAATTAACCCTTGTGGTTACTGGATTATTTGATTTAATGCCATAAACAACTTCTGTTTTATCAATAGTAGCTAATTTAAAGTTTTTATGGACTCTGTATTCAAACAACTTCATTCCAGTCAGCTTTTATTACCAACATGATGTCATTATAAACAGCTTGGATGATAACAAACTTTAAACGAAATATTTCACCTAAAGATTCGATAGGTTTATCAAGCTTCGTATAAAAGAGTTCCATTTTATGTAATATTCAAATGTTTTTTCTTTTGATACTGACGCGAGCAGTTCAAATTAAATATTCAAAATCTTTTTTTTCTTTTTGTTCTACATATTGTATCATTCGAATAAGAGTTAATTCTATTTTCTATTATAGGAAAATTTTTACATAATTAATATAGTATAAGTTTGTATGTAGTAGAATTTAAAATTTTAATGTCTACTACTGAAACTTGAAATCACCTGTTATTTCAATTTCTACTATAACATATACATGTGAATTATTTCTTCTTTTCTTTTCAGTCATTGACATCATCAACGACGAAAAGTAAGTCATCATTTTTTTCTTATTTGAGAGTGAGAGTGAGTTGAGAATAGAATAAATTAGGTTAAGGTCTCTCACACTATAGAAGGTCTTCCGGATAGACCCTAAACACCGTCCAGGAACTGTTTTGATGTCTGTGGTAACTAGTGCCCGGCGTGACCGCCGTGATTCAAGGTAGTCACGGGAACTTTTTCGAAATTTTGGAAACCCCTGAGGAGAAGTACGGACACCTCTACGAAGCTACCCTCCTCCGATTATCACTTCTAATAGTAAATAGAATCCTAGTCTCGATCCCGTTCATTTCTTGGAAAATTTTGCAAGGATCTGTGAGGATCCTGAATGTCCAAGGTCTTGCCAAGTTTTCCTCAGAATCCCGACTCAATTCCTGCTGCCAGGATTTCCCAGTTATACAGGATCCTTGAAGGATTCATTCATGATTTTACTTATGATCCTAACAGGAATAATGGAGAGAATTCTCTGAAAATTTTATCAAATTTTAGGCAAGGTCAGATACGAATCTTGGTATAAGGACCCAGTGAACTTTTTGCAGCTAAAACTGAGGAGCGTCGCAACAAAAAGCCAACAATAGAGTATATCAGTGACTGTTCTTGCTAGTTAATACAAGCGGAAGTTCTGTTTACACCCACAGCCACATCGTGTTTTCTAATTTATTCCAAGTTCAACAACAATAGTGACCCGTTCAGAATCCTGATGTAATCCTTTTTCGAACTCTGTTCGGATCTTGAAATTTCGTGAATACACATTTCTTACAGGATTTCGCCATTCCATCAGGAAAAAAGAGCGATTCCTGAAAGGATTCTGACTGAATCCATAAAGGACTGGACAAGAAAACATTGCAATAGCTCTTTCTGGAAAGTTTATTTTTCATGTTGAGAAATCATGAAAAAGGCCGTGACCAAAAAGTTAATCATGCGGGGCACTAGTGGCAACACAATCGGGCTCCAGGCTCACGAACATATGTCATTGATGGATGGATACAGATGATGTGAGGCTTCCCGCGCGTGAAGAGAAATAAAAAAAAAATTTGCTTCGATTCGAATACAATTTATTGAATTGAAAAAAATTGAATACGATCATATCCATCATAACCACCATCAACGACATAGAGATTGCCTTGTCGATCGAAGGATAAACCAAGAGGCGAACGCAAGTGATTTGCTCCTGCTCCTTGACTATTTTCACCCACAATGGCAGTACCTTGTCTTGCTCCTTTAGGCCAACGAATTACTCGATGATTCAATGAATCTGCCACATAGATGGTACTCAACGTATCGACGAAAAGTCCATAAGGACAAGACAATTGTGTCAGAGCATGCCCTTGGCCTTGACCTCCAGCGACGACAACGCCTTCTTTTGCACCTTTATTCCATTTCATTACACGATGATTATTGTTGTCTGACACGTAGACAGTCTGGTGTTGATCGACAAAGATGTAGGTCGGTTCCTTGAGTTGATTGAGATCAGCACCTTTGCCATTTCCACCAGCCACGATAATTCCATTCTTGTCTCCTATTTGATATCGTCTTATTGCATGTTTTTCGATGTCAGAGACGTAGAGATATCTCTGATCATCCATGAACAATCCCCAACAACGAATGTTGTCAATGAGAATTTCTCCTTGACTTGTGCCACTACAACGAGACCATTGTACAACTCGTCGATTTTCCCGATCACATATAATGAGACTATCAGTCTCTTTGTCAATTAGCACATCAGTTGGATGTTTCAATTGATCCAATTGATTTCCTTCGCATTTGCCACCAGCTACAACTTGTCCATTTGTATCACCCATCTTCCATTGGACGATACGATGATTTCCGAAGTCAGCAATGATCATCTTTTGATCGTCATCAGTGAAGAGACCGTGAGGACAGTTGAGTTGATTTGTGGCATTGCCTCTTTTATTATATCCAGCAATGCTCTTTCCTTTTTGTGACCATCGAGCATCGATTGGGATATTGGGAATAACTATAATAAACAAAGAAAATGAATTATCATTGTCGACGAGATCTTTGTCTCTCGTACACGAGAAAGTACTTTTCGTAACTTAGTCTTTAATAAAAGGACTTTGTAAGAATTCTTTTGTGTCAATAATTATTTATAATATCTGAAATGTTAAGCTTTCAAAGAGGAGATTTCAATGTTTCACTGAAACTCGTTGTCTCTCTCTCGATTATGACATGTTTTTTTATGCTGTGATATATATTTTTAAATGTCTTACTGTCATGCAAAATTTCAACTCTCTCTCTAGCTCATACTGTAGTTTAGTTATAAGGGTTACAATGTACAAAAATCGTATTTCCTTTAAGATATATGGAGAGCTTGACCTTGGTTTTTCTGGAATTTTTTCGTTTGATTTCAAGTTGAATTCACTTTGTGACTGTGACATATCTTTGTAAACTACATTTCAAATCATTTCGAAGAAAACAGCATATCTGTTTCTTCAGTGAAATCAAGGAAAACTTCAACCGCTTTATCTTGTATTTATTCTTGAGAAGGTTAAAGTTTGTTTTTGTCTTTCATTACTCATGAAATTTATCGAATACAATTCAGATGAGAATAGAAGAGAAAAAAATCTCATTCAATGCTTTTGATTTGAGTTTTAGAATCAGAAATTCATATTATTGGTATCTTTCTATTGTGAAAATAGTCCATTTTTATTATTTCTAATGTGTGAAATATTCTAAGTAAACTTATTTTCCGTCTATACCTCATTTGTCTCATGATATAGAATGTTGAAAAAAAATAAAAGCTCTCTCTGTTTCCTTTATTTCGATTTGATTACTACTTGAAAGAGAGTGAAATATTTTTTTTTACAAAATGTAAAAATTCTTTTTTTAAATATGTTAACCATACTGAAACGTTACTTCCGTGTGAATTTTACAATGTATACAAATCATATTGGTTTAGAAATATGTAGAAACAAGAAAAAAAAAGAGGTTTCCTTTGGAATTTTCTTCCTTTTAATTCAAATTGAATTCACTTTGTGGATGTGTGACTTTTGCTGTAAATTACATTTTCAACTCGTTTAGAAAAAGAGCTCATGTGTGTTTTTTTTGACTATAATCGATGAAAAATCTAACCAATTTATCTCGTATTTATTCTTCAGAAGGTTAAAATTTGTTTCTCTCTTTCATTATTCATAAAAGTTATTGAATACGATTCATGTAAGAATGAGAGATAAAAAATCTTATTCAGTTTCGTTGAGTGGACTTTTAGAATCAGAAGTACATGTTATTATCATCTTTCTATTGTAAAAACAGTCTATAATCGTGGAAGCTATAGTACTACTACAAATTCGTGGACTCAAAAAGATTGAACTGTTTGAATGGCATAGAATAGGCATCCAGTATGTTTTAAAGAAAAATGCATGCGTAAACATGTTCTCATTAAAATAGTAGAAAAAGAAACGTTGTGATGAACTACGCAAAGTCAAAAAGATATTCTGTATTAAACCGATTTCTGTTATCTTTTATTTGTATTGAAATAAGGATATTCAAAAAACTCGTTTTTACAAACTGCAATTTTTAAATCTTTGATTTTCGTAAATATTAACTTGTCAATTAGCTAAATATTTCTGAATATTCTCTAAAATGACAACTGAAAATGATATATGAAACACCACGCATATATTTTTCCTGTTTGTTAACATCAAAATATTGCTGTAAAAAGTTTAGCCTATTTTATTTCGTAGACACAGAAATACTTCGTATTTTTAGCATATTAGTATTTTTATATGAACAGATGTAGAAAATATACATTTGTAATATTTAAACTCTCATTCACAATCGACTATAATCTATTGACATCACTATTATCAATGTACATTATTAGTTCACATGTTAAAATAAAGAATGATCCAATAGTATTGATACCTCTTTGACTAAATGAATGATATCTATGGTATTGTAGAGAAAGATATTTCGAGATGTATGAATTGTGGAATGTCAATTGAATTTTTGACAATGAGGTATTGATATAAAAAATCAATTCAAGTTTTAAACTTATTTTCACTTTGTCAACTGTTTCAACTTCTTAACAGAATTTCATTTTCATTCACACTTTACACACCTGTAATACAACAAGTACTATCATTCAAAATGCCATACTTATAAGTTTCGCCGTGAGAACTCATGCTTAACTAAACCCCAAGTTTTTAAAATAATTTATCAACAAGATAAAGATCTCTCATTCTAATTTTCAAACGAAATTTTCATATAAATGATGTGAACTATAATATTCGATATATAAATGAATGAAAACTTGCTTTTAATTCTAAATATTGATTCATGTAGATATGTCAAGAGAGAAAATACTAGTCCAAATGTTTTATTCTATCTTTAACAATAAATTGATCATGATTCGCTTAAATTCACGAATATCGAAATTCAGCATTGACTAATCAATCTGTTTTTATGACTATTACTATCAGTAATCATGATGAATCAAGAAATAATTAATGATAGTTATGATACATACATGGAAAACGTTGAGAAATTCAATAAGAATCGATTACTTTTCGATTTAAAAGAAACCGATTAAACTAATTCTATTTTTATCGTAGTAGATTTCTCTAATTCTTGTAATAAAGAATCGAATTTTATCTCATAACTTTAGAATATTTTTACTTGAGATATGAGAGATAAATTTAGTAAAGAAAATAAAGTATATTTAATTTGGTTTTGTTGTGATCCAATTGGTCTTGCATAGATTATTTTATTTTTAGTACCTCTAGCTGTTATTGATTGACGATGTATGATTTAGTAACTGTAGCATTATGGTCTTTCATTGATATATGATAGCTCTAGAGGTTGTCTCATAGCCATATGTGAGTTACTTCTACACATAATTCGAAATAAGACATATCAATTAGTTTAAAAAAAATAATCGACACTCTGCAAATCTCTGGTCGTAGTTATATGAGGAAAGATTGGAAATAGAGAGTAATCAAGCATTCTTTGAATTATCCAATAGAATTGGAATTTCAAGAATTTCTGGAAACTAATCAGCAGTAGACTATCGAAAATTCATTTAAATTGAAACTTGTATTAAACAACTAATAAAAACTATCTCTTGGTGAAAGACAAACATTAAAGTATTAATTTTTACTATTTGAGCTGCTTTCCTATTATTGGTCTGATTCATAACAATTTCGTTACCCGATTTCAATATTAAATAATTTGTCTTCTTGCTGTTTTCTACTTTCTGAAAATAATATATTTTTTTAGTTGTATAATATTATTCTATATCGTATAATACAGAGTAACAGCTTCGACTACTTTTTATAGAGTTCTGAATCATTTTTGCATGAAAAATATATTTCACATTATGCCCAAACAATTTCAATTTTTGCATCTGGAGATAATGAGCCTTTCCTCAATATTACATGTAATAAAGTACACTAAAAAATAATCATATTTCTAAGACTCATTAATATACGTTTCTAAATTTTACCTCGTAGATTGCACATGCTATTAGAATCAGCCGATCCTAATCCGGCAAGAATAGCTTGATTACTGTTATATTTCAGTTTTAGCTTTCAATATCCCATTGAATCTAGCAGTACTTTTCTAATTATAGAAAAGTGAGTTTTTTTAAATAGATAGTATTAGACTGTTGTGCAATTTGCTAAAATTATGAGTAGCCTAGAATTTTCACCGAAAGTATCCGGGTTTTGTCGAATAAATTTTGCTTATCTTATTTTTCTACTATTTAAGAAACTTAGAAATATAGTCGATTGCTTATAAGTAAAAGCTAATGTAAGTTTCAATGTAAAGTTTTTCATATGGTTGTTTATCAGTTGCCTGAAACTTCTTCAAAATGTATTTTTAGATAGTAACAGATATCAATGTCACGACTATCGAAATAGTTACATTGTTTATGCCTGTGTTAATTACATTATTTTTTCCACAACACAACTAATTTTAAATCCCTAATTTATTACGATAATATATTCTTTTTTTCTTAATCAAAAGAGCTATATATAGTTATTGAAGAAAAAGAAGTTAGGAATATTTAAAATAGTCCTGGAACAATTTTAAATATCCCAGAGTTGGTCTGGCTGTTTGATTCTTCCTTATTCATACCCACATCCGCAAGTAAGAAAATAGCTCTTTTCTTGGTTAACAGTCTCATCATTTTTCTTTCTTTCCCCCCTGATCAAGTAACATGTATTTATCAAAACAAAGAATTCAGTGTCCTATACAAATGCAAAATAAACAATTGTAAGAAGAATGAAAAAAAAAAACATACAATTTAGTGTTACTAAAAGATGCTCAAAAACCTCCATTAGTTATATTTGTTAAAATACATTCTCTAAAGACAAATTTGGTTTACGAATAGGTTGTAAATTATTTGTATGTTAAATACAAATATTTATCCTTTTTTGAAATTGAAACGATGATCGTGAAACTTCATGACAGTCAACACTTTTAATACAAATCGATCTTCATTGAAAATCCACATTGATTTTCACTTATGTGTATGAAATACTGAAGCGTATTTTTTCGAAAATACTTAGCTGGAAAAATAATGGATGCATTATTTGTTTTTTCGTTATATGATGAGTAAAATGACATAAAATTTGAGTATAATGGATAAAGTTAACGAAAGCTAATCCTTTTTAAGCTGTAGTCCAATCGATTTCTATTGATGGGTAAGTTGATATGCTCAACAATTATCTGTCTATATCATGGAATAATCTATTTCCGAGTTTCTTCAAAATTTTTTAAGTAGTTTATAATTTTTTTTCTAAAACAACGTATAAAAAGAATTTTGTAGAACTCAACGAGTTCTATCAAACCATGTAAAAGTAGCACAGAAACGAGAAAGCTTACTTCATTTTTGAAATAGCTTGCATCTTAATTTATCGGAACACAACATGGCATTAGGAGATATTTATTTAGTCAAGTTTATTATGAACATAGAGTTTTTAGTTAACGAATTCTCTATCGAGCAAAGTATAGTATTGAAACATTCCTTTAATTTGAAGCAAAAGCATATCAAAAATGATCTCAAGTAAAAAACAAGACAATTCTCAAATATTTTTAAATATTTATAAGATATCCAAACTTTGTTTTATTTTTCGATGCTTTTCTCATTAAAGTAGAATTTCACAAAAAAGAAAATCAATATTTCTCTGCAAATACTCATATCATGGTAGCAAAAATTTTAGAGTATATACAACTTGCGTTATTCATAGAAACTATGAAATATTGGTTCAAAACATTCGTTTGGAAAATCTGTTGATATGTCATACTGATCGGATACTTGAAAAGATAAATAATATTTTAAAAGTCATAAACCCATCAAAACCAATAGACTGTCCAATAAAATTTCAGATTACACACAGTGCTTTTGTTTCTGATAACTGGTCAAATAATATCAGCACCTTACGAAGAGAAGGCTGGTATTTTTGTCCTCACTCTTTAAGTAAAATAAAATAGTTATAAATTTTCAGTTTTTATGTATTGATACAGATCAAAGTTTCAAGACGCCTATGTAAAGATTGTTTATAGTATGTCAGTGATCGTTCGATAGGCTATGAAATTGAAATGTATAATGTGCCCCATAAATTTCTTGCAATAGTAAACAGATGTCTATTACAAAACTAAAGCGGATACTTTATATTTGTAAGATGATAGTGGGTTTGTTGAACTATTATATACTATTTTATCAGCGATAAAAATATCACTCAATTTGGTCAAAATATGACGAAGATATTCACACATTTCTTTGGCTAATGATTTACGTGACACCTTATATAAACATAAGAAAAATAGTAATTCAATTGTCGTCTCTTGCAGATTGCATACAATTATAAAATAGAAATTGTTCATCGTATTCAACAAATCAAGAATTAGAAGTAAACTGAATTAAAAACAGTAGCAAAGTTTTCATGATACTAATACTATTTCGAGTAAAATCAAGCATTCGACATATTATAACATATTTGTGATTTCCATGAAAGGTTTCTCATTGTACTAGAGTCTATTGATTTCATTGACGTTGAACTGGTACAAATTAACAAAAAATATAACCATGCTAGTTTAGAAATTTAACTCTGAATATGTAAAATGTTATACTGTTGGTAGAGAGCAATAGTACTCAATAGAATTCATTAATTTTTGAATGAAGTCGTTTTTCATCTGAGTGAGTGAATTCACCGGTAAAAATAAAGTAAAAACTTATACCTATAGTGAAAGCTAATTCGAGATCCGAGGAAAAAGAAATAAGAAGAAGAGAGAGACGAAAGAGAAAAAAAGATAATGACTCGAGCTTTATGTATGTCACGCTCAATAATTCAAATAAACAAAGAACATCGAGTAGTTGATTAACCACATAGAGCATATTATGGCATCTTCATTAGAAGTCTTTTTGTAAATTATTTCATTGGTTTAACCAATCAAATTTAACTTAAAGTTTTGATGGGTGGGTTAAGTTTGAAATTTCTTAGATGGCTTTTCCAGCCCATTGGTTTGGGTTAGAACGAACCCATGGATGATCCAACCCAATGAATACTAATGCCAACTCGAACCATTCAACATCTCTGTTCCGTAGTTTTGAATGACGTAACTGAATTTCAGAAGTTAAACTTCTAAGATTTGATCAATGAGAGCGCATAAATGAAATAAATCGTATGAAAGAATTTTAATAGAAAATTATTTCACTTTCACAAAATTTACTACAATTGATTGACGACAAGCTTTTTTATTCAATACAGATTGTTCATCTTGAAGAAAAAGAGGCAATATGTGAAAAGACATGAGCTTTTAACGACAGATAGTTTTGATTAAGATAGATTTGAGATCATAAAATAAACGTATGTGTACAACTATTGGTCTTTGAAATTAAGCTCGACCTTGCGATTGGATAGTCAATGACAAGATAGTTTCGTTTCTCTTTTTTTTTTATATTGATAAAGTGATACTCATGATGTATGAGCAAGTTTCATCGATTTGTGGTTAGGTTCAAGAGATTTTGATTGAAGTCAATTCAAAGGTTTACACAGATTTCATCATAATTTATAGTGGTAAATCAATATTTATGGTGCATATAAGAAAGTTGGAGGCAACTGTGTCCGTGAAGAGTAGACGCTTGCCTATCCCATGTTTCACTGCCGGTTTTTTTTAATATTATTTTGCTATATTTTTGATTTTTGGGTGTGGTTTGTGGTGAATATGGGCTTAACTTCTTTCTTTTTGCACACCCACACCCTTATTATATTGATAGAGAGAAATCAGAAGTAGAACATGTGTATGCAACAACTTTCATACTGTGATGTAGTTTAAGAATTTGTGAGGACTTTAGAACGTTATGGGTGCAAGTGTGGGTATGGACGTTGTCTTTTAATTTACGTACATTAATAGCAAAACGTACACCCTAACTTGAAATTATTTTCTCATAACGTAAAAGAAATGAAAGCAATCAAAAAGTTGACATTGTTCTCTTGCATTGAAGATAGGCAGAACTACACTAATCATGATGTGGAGTAGTATTTCTGAGAAGAAAATTGTGACTACAAAGTAATGCTTAATGGAAAGTTTTTGAATGAGAAAGATCTAACTCTACGAGTATAGTTAACAGTAAAAGAAACATAAATTCCAAAAGTTAGAGAAATCAATTAAAGATTCAGATTCTTCAACCTCGACAACATTTAGTCAAATTGATCAATTTTATAGTTCCTATAAATCATATATTCGCAAAAATGAAAGTCAAAGGTAGTTAATATATCAATAAAAATTATCCGACTTACATCCGGGAGATTATAAATTATAGAAGAAACTATAAGTTGAAATGATTAGTTATGATCACATAACAACAAAGAAAACACTTAAATTTTATTTTATTCTTAGACATTGACTTGTAGCTTGACTCAAACCTATACTATTTGTTTTTAAAAAAATATTCTTTGAGTTAAAGTATTATATCTAATTTACAAAATTAGCTTTTTTCAATACTTTATTCGAAAACATAGATCTATGTGTCTCATGAGGTTTTCTTTGTTATTTTAACGGCAACAAACATCAGTCTCTAGTATATCAATGAACGGTTAATTTCATAAAAGATTAAGAAAATCGTTCTATTCAAAAATAAGATGAGTATGTGAACCGAAGAAATGTACTTCTGTTTACACAAAAAGTTATGATTCAATCAGATAGTACTAGATATTCAACAAATCTGTCTCTTTCGTATGATTAATAGTTAAAGTATTCAAAAAATAGATAGAATCAGATTGTAATCATCCAAACGTTATGAATTGATTTTTAAGTAGGTTTTCTTTAAATCAATGAATGACTCTTTTTTATTCTTATAATATTAATTACAGTCACTAGTAAACTCTCATAAGTGGAAATTGAATTAAAAAATTTTTCATAATTAGATATCAAACATTTAAGTATTATTTTTCTATAACATTAAAATGCATCGAAATATGTTAAAACTGAAAAATAAAGAAAAGTCATATAATCAGAGGAAATCAATAAAAAAATGATTTTAATCACGCATATAATTTGTGTCCTTTCATTTTATACTAAGTTCTGCATATGACTTGAGCAAAACAATATCAAACGCATAGATTTTTGTAACTGACAACTTTCCCAGTAAATAGAATTTTCTTTTAACACATCTTAGTAAAAATTGGTTATGATTTCATTTTTTAATGTAAAACTCTCGACTAAAATATAGGTTGTCGCATTGATATCAGAGCTCAATAGAATAAAAGGCTACGAAGTGATATTAATAAGTTTCTAAATACATATCGTTTGTATTGATATTTTGTATCATGGATCAATGACTAACTACCCATAGTAATGAATTTAACATGGTTATTCGATTTATTTTATACAGTGATCAAAGGTGTATGTTTATTTGTTAAAATATTTCTCAATCTTATTAGATTATGTCGTATTCATTTCTCTTTAGCTAGATTTAAATCTTGAATTCATTTTCTATTGCACTCTTATTTTATGAGAAATAGATCAAGATATTTTTATTATGCTACAATACTATGCTAAATGTTTTCTTATTTAGATGTGAGTATGCCTTTTATATGTGAAAGGTTAAGAGTTGCAATCAAAAAGACTCTCTTAACTCTCATCTGTATGTCGTCGAACCCTTTTACGAACTAAGATTTCAATAAATCTGACGAAATATAATTAATAAATTTAAAATGATTCAAGACAATATCTTTTGACAAAACTGAGGCTTAATTCAACTAGGTTTTGACGATAGTCCTGATTTTTTAGAACCGTTTGATCTCGAATTCGCAGGTTGATCAAATTATTTTAGAATATTAAAGCAGTAAAATTCGATCGAACAATTTTCTTAATGAAAACAATTCTCGTAAAGAGTTTCATTCAAGCAAAAGTAAGCATTCTTACAGAATCCTCTCTATTGATTTAATAATTTTAGATATTTGCCAAAATTTTGTATTATTCATATATACACTAATCAGAATTCAGATGTTTTTTGAATTATTCAGTACATATACACATATATATCATATAAAAGGTTAGTGCATTGAGAAAAAGTTGAAATCACTTACTCAATGTAGTTTTAATTGACGGTTGTGTTGCTGCTGCTGCCGCCAGCTCCATGTTATTCATAGCTGATGCTAATGGTTGATCTAAGTCATCATCAATTTCAATTAAATGCACAAGGTATGAACCGTTAGATTGCTCTAATGGATCACTCTTCACGCGAAATTTTGAACCCATTCGTAAAATAACTTCATCTTCTGTTTCAAATTCTGTATATCCAGAAACTATTTTTCCGTTTACAGCTTCAATCATAAAAAGTGTTGAATTTTTTTTATTATCAAGAAAACCTTTGATAACATTCACTGATGACGAACATGAATTAACACTCCACCATGTTACAATTTGATTTTTGGTGAAGTTCTTGCCAATATCAAGTGATACACCTCTCCATACTGCCTCTTTGACAGTAGTTAATTTATCTAATGCTGTATCAAATAACTTTAGATATGGAAACCATACCTTAACTTCTTGTCGGTTTTCGGATCGTAATGCTCTATTTAATACACGATACAAAGTAGTATCACCCCATTCCATTGTATAGATGTAAACAGCAGCTGCTTGATCAGGTGTTAGTTCATGTTCTGATGGATAATGACAGTTTCGTTTAGCTATCTTTATATAATACGGTAATTCATCAATTTGAGGCTCGATAGGTTCGAGCGCTTTTTCAATTGGAACAAGTTTCTCACTGCGATAACCATAAATAGGTTGAAGTCTCTTAAATGAACTATCGATATCACCAAAACGATTCATCATGTACGTATTTTATATGTTGTTGAACGTTGATGAAAATAAGGTTGTTATGAATTCGAAATAATTGGTAAAAAATTGTTTTGATTTATTTTTCTATAGGAAATAAAAAAATCAATATGATGTCAGTACTTTTTGTTTTTGTATAATGATAGGAACATGAATCGTTTCTCTTATTTTTCTAATAATTGATTTCTAACACTGAGGATGTGGATATGCTGTGAGTTTCTTCAGGGGATGGATGTGTTGGTTTCTTTTTTCACACAGCCACCCTGATCATTGAAACTAATTGCAACCAGTGACCCATCGGACGATGAATTATCTTGGGGTTGCAGGTAACTCATAGAAAACGTCATGAAAAACTAGATTCACCCCACATGCTACAGTTCGCTGAAATTGGATGATGCCACCGAAAGATAGTGTTGATAAGTTTAGTGCAAAAAAAGTAAAACTTCCTTTTTCGTTCCAATGTGGAACGTAGAGAAAAGAGAAAAGTTTTTCTTCAGTGACTAACTATAGATGGATGTGAATGAAGATGTCAAGACTTCACACACCTACATCTTTACTATATCTACATTTATATGAGTATACCACTGTTACTATACTCTAAGGAGTAACTCATCATAACTATATCCTATTGAATGTATCACTGTCCTATACTTGAATGGATATATCTTCTTATCTATACCCGAATGACTGTATATCACCATAATTATAGCGATTCGGGTATATCACGCTACTTTTATCCTTTAGAAGAATCAACTTACCTATTCTTGTGCATCCACCCCTGCATCAATCTCGCTGATTTTACCTAAACCTGTCTGTCTAGACCCTCATATGTGGGTCTGCGTCACTGTATTCTTATGGGATTGCGCCATGAATATAGCCTATGGCAGCTCCTTTATCATTTTCAGTTATGGTCCTCTAGTTATAAAATGAATAGTAGCGTAGGTAGCTAAGTGTTCAAGATGAAGTTGGGAACGTGTTTAATGGTAGTCATCTATTTGTAGGAAGACTGGGTGATGTATAGGCCTGGTTAATTACATCACTGAAGTCCCGTATTATTCCTTCAATCACAGTTGTTTGTGTTCGCTCGAATAATTTATCATGATTGATCATCAGACTATCATTTTCTTTTTTGGAATTTTGATTTCGTTTTCATGTTTCATCAGTACTATTTATTGGTATATAGGCTTATGTGTCTATGTAGAAAACGTTTGGCACTTGAATGTTGATATTTTCTATCGTTCGTGTGTTTGCATGTCATTGTATGGTGGCTTAAATATATGTCTGATGTTATAGAGAAAACAACTCATCTTAGGAAGTTTCGATTCTCGAGTAAATCGTTTGAAATACATAGAGACACGTGTTCAGATGCAGTCTCGTACACGATCTTGTATGACCATGAAAGATTTGTGCTCCCAGAATCATACATATTTTCTTGATGATAGAACTTATTTGATTAAGGGTATATCATAACAGTTGTCCTTCTACGTTTCCTATCCTGTGATTTTTGTAAGATTTTGCTGACATTTTCCATTCAGAATCTGATAAAATCTTATAGAAAATTGAACTTACACGATGTTGTCAGTTCTTATAGCAAGATTGTACAAAAAAAAAACTTGTATGTGTGAAATCATATAAGGTCTTGTACGATGTAGCGTCCGATTTTTTGACTCAATATAAACTATCATTCAAAAACTTTGATATCATACTTTTGCTTTCTCGAAATGGACCTTATTTTTTGTCAAACATACAACTGTTTCATATCGTCAATTATCTTAAGTTTGAGCAGGTTGGCCAAAATTAACATACATGTTATTTTTCTACTGAAACTTTCTAAAATCCTTATGTCTTGTTCTGTAATATCTATAAATATTTCACAGAAGGAAATTATATTCGTAAATTAAAATGAAAATCAGTTTTCATGAGACATATCTTCATTGCTTTCTATGACCAATAACAATTAACGAGATATATCGTCTCATATTTTTGCACATCATTTCTATGTGAAATCTTTCGATTTTTTTACATCCTTTGATTCTAAAAACAATAAATCTCTCAAAAAAACCTTTTTATTCAATATCCTCAGCATGTTTTCCGCTTTTCCTACATCACAAAATCGAACATCACTATGTGCTCATTTTATTTCTTCTAAAACTGTATGGAGAAGAATTCATCTTATGTTTAGATGATTTCGATTCACCATAAACAATTTCGAACCCTTTCTGGTTTTCTTTACTGCTGAATTTTCAAAATAAAAATGATCAGTTTTCATAAAAGATTATCAAAAAAAAAGAATCTTATATTCGTGATTACCTTATAATAATGTCAAACGGCGTCTTGAGTCAAAAACTAGCGATTTAATACAGTGGTTCGAATCTGAAAGAATACACAAATACGATAATGATGTGAGGCGAATATCATTTCAATTTGTTTCAACAGTAATCACTGATGCATAGAATAGTTTTTTTTAGTTAATACAAGAAAAGACACAAACAAATACGATCATCGATAGAAAATGTCTTTCATTCTTTCTAATGCAGCAAGTTGTATGATGAAATAATGTATGAAAATAAGACAAATAGTTATTGATAAGAATTTTTCCAAGTTAACAAAGATAAAATAAGCAATATGCAAGCAATGCATGACTATTCCAAGGTTTCATTCTTATCTTCATAAGTATAACCATCATATGCTCATATTTGTGAATTTATGAAGACAAAAGTAAACGACGCATGTGGAAAGCTTTTCATAAATGTTGACCAAATTTTCGATACTATTTAGATTCAATAGATTTTAAAAAGTTATTATTTTTCAGAATAATGAGTATGATTTCTATTCTTTCCATCTATACATTTTAAAGACTTTTGAATTTTTTAATTTGGATCAGAAATAATAAGAGAATGGGTCAATAAATAAGGTAGAGTTTTTTTTTTTACAATATTAGACAAAAGAATTTTAACAATGAATCTGAATAAATCCATCTCCTTTCCTGAACTAAGTATCAATTATTGGCGAGAGTAGGGCAATTTCATCACACCCACAAATAACTTCACCAGATCTCCAAGACTAACAATTAGGGTATGGGTGTGGGGTGTGGGGTGTGGGTGTGGATTATCTTGTCATCAACACTCACACCCACACCATAGTTAAAAAATATGCATAGCTTTTGAAGGAATCGACAGGAACTCAAATCGTTTTCGGATTTTTTATTAAGGCACTATTTAGTATCTCTAGATACAAATTTATTGAAATCGGAGGGAATATCTGAAAAGTTTCCCACGTAAGTTTGACGTAAATTTTTACCCTAAGAGCTATCCATAAAAAATAGTATAATTTTATATGGTGCTAAATATTTTGCTGTCCCTCAAGACTATAGCAAAACGAATGATACTTTCAGAAGAGAAGTCTATGTAGAAAGATGCCTGTCGGCTTTCTCTATTTAACGAAGTCCAATATAATAGTAAAAGTCCACTCAAATGCTATGGTTCTGTTACGCATCTTTCTTTGGCGGTGCATGTCGAGTCTTATGAGATCAACAGCATCCTTCAATGCTCAGAGGTTTCTATACGTTACAAATGTAGATTCCTCTACTTTTTAAAGCTTTTCCACTTATTCAAATGATTTACTCTCAGGCTTTAATATTTGTTCCTATCAGCCAGTCTCGTTTCGCATCGTTGCAAAGGATTTCTGAAGAGTTCTTGAAACATTCTGCATTTAGCAAAGTAAACAGGATTCATCTGACTCTTCATTGATTGAACTGACTGCTTATCATCTTTCTTTTTGGACACTTACTGATTAGTTACTGTGTGTCTACAGAAGTTGACATCATTTTAGAGTTTGGCACGGAATAATGATACTTTCAATCATTGCTCTAAAGAGTTCTCTTACAAAATGCTCTCCATACTTAATTTTACAGACTACCACGCTAGCCACCTGTTTTTTCTATCTGATTCAGTGATAGATTAGTATTCTGAGGACTTTAAGATATATCTTGGATATTACTCTTTGATGTAACGCATGGCAGACACAATCTTAGCAGTTATTGTGTAATCATTCGTTTTTGCTCTCAACATTGCGCAACACTCTGACTCTTAGTGAAAAAGCGTCTCCAGAGCTCTGATGACAATGTGCTATCTTGTGCACTGTAGTTCAGCGTTGGTTGGCCTCACAAGTTGTACAATTGAACACAAGTGCTATACGGTTCTCAGAAGCTTTTCTGCTCGATCTTATAATGTTGTGGTCAAGAAAAGTGAGCTCCAAACTGCGTAAACTCCAAATTTGGAGCTCACTTCCCATCCACGTTTTACCATAA